GGAGACGCAAGTGCAAAGGCATGCAATGCAAAGGCAAGTGCGGAGGAGGCAAGTGTGGCATAGGTGGAGGTACTAAATGGGTACCCAAGCCGCCGCCGCCGAGTCCGAGGGAGTCGAGGGCGCCGAGTCCAGCGAGTGGAGGAGCTGGCGCCGCCGCGGCGGGCGCCGGCGGGGCGCCAAACGGAGACGGCGACGCGGCGGGCGCTCCGAACGGCGACGCCGACCCCGCCGGCGGCGGCACGGTGCCAAAGGGCGGCGGCGACGCGCCAAAGGGAGTGGCGGCGGGCACGGCGGGTGCCGGCGCGCCGAAGGGGCTGGGCGGTGTGGCCAGGCCCGGGGAGGCGGCGCCAAAGGCGGCCGCCTTGGCGGCGAAGGGGGAGGCGGCGGCGCCGAACGGCGTGGCAGCGCCGCCGAACGGTGCCGCCGCGGGAGGAGCTCCAAAGACGGCCGGTGCCGCAGCCGCCTGCTGCAGGAGTGAGACGACAGCGGCGTGGCCCTTCTCCTGTGCCACGACGAGCGCGGTCTTGCCCTTGCGTGTGGTCAGCCCGGGGTTCGCTCGCAGCTCAATCAGCGCCTGCACCGCCTCGGTGCGGCCAGCCTGCGCGGCGTACACGAGCGCTGTCGCGCCGACCGTCGGGTTCTGTTCGTTGACGTTCGCGCCGCCCTGGACGAGCCGCTTGATCGAGGCGACGTCGCCGGCCTTGGCGGCGGCGAGGAGCTCAGACATTTTTTTGTTATATACACACACAACAGGCTGCAGACCTTGCCCCGGGGCGGGGCGGCGCGCGGTTGCGCCAAATTTGTTTTTTCGTTGTTAATTAATAATAATACAGACGGACGGACACTTGCTGTAGCCACATGACACGCACACACGCACACCGCACCGCACCCCCCCCCCCCCCCCGCCCGGTCTCGATTGATTTGGTAGGAGATGGGAAGATGGAACAGCCCGAGGGAGAAGCGGAACGAAAATACCTATGGGAGGTTGAAGTCGTGCACCACGCTGCCCGGCGTTTCTCACTTTCCGGGACAGCCCCGCCCTTTTGAGGCAGGAAAGTGGCGGCTACCCCCGTACGCACTGTTTGCTATGACCCCCTCGCCGACCGCCCAGACTTCCCTTCCCCTTCTCCAACCCCGACGAGCCA